ACAAAGAAATCCGTAACTATTCCCAAGGAAACATAATAAAAATTTTCAAAAACTTACTCAGATTCGAAAAATTGGAATGAAGTATATAAGGCAACTGATAAGTTTAACTCATTCATAAATATATACTTAAGATGCCATGCAATTACAATGCCATTTTTCCTCAAAAAACTCAGAAAGATCCAAAATAGAAAACTAAATCATGGATTACCACAGCATCAAAGTGTCATGTGAAAGAAAATGCAAATGTATAAAATACTAACAAATAACAAATGTAACTCAAACTTCATTTCATATTACAAAACATATAATTCGATACTAAAAAAAGGAATCAAACAAGCAAAAATTATGACAAATGATAAGTACATTGCAAATGCACGCAATAAAACAAAAGATATGTGGGACATTATTAGAAAGACGCCAACGCCAACTAATAATAACAAAAAATATAGAGCTCCACCACAAAAACCAAACTGTACAAGACCCACAAGAAATAGCTGATATATTCAATGAACACTTCACAAGTTAGTAATAAGTTAATTTGCAACACGCTTTAAACAATAAAACACACCAACCAAACACTAATATTACACAAATTGTAAATTCCATATTTTTATATGAAACCACCCCCTCTGAAAATTTCAAAATCATTGGACAAATGGAGAATAAATTCTCAGCAGGCATGGACAATGTTCCAGATTTTCTTATTAAACACGGTGCTCCATGAATAGTGCAACCACTCTCACATCTGCAATTACTCTCTAAAATCAGGCATATTCCCAGATATATTTAAAACAGCAAAAATTAAACCATTGTTTAAAAAGGGCAATAGTTATGACCCAATGAACTACAGGCCTATTTCCCTGTTATCAGGATTTTCAAAAATTCTGGAAAGACTTTACAATGATAGACTCAAACAGTTTCTCAATGCAAATAATGTCCTTACAAATGCACAACATGGCTTCAGGAGTAATAGATCCACAGACAGCCATCTTCTCCTTTTTAAATGACATACTTGTTGCACTAAATCAGAAGTAAATTCCCATTGGCCTTTTCTTAGATTTGTCAAAAGCCTTTGACATCAATGACCATCACATACTTTTAAGAAAACTAGAAATGCTAGAGGTTCGAGGCATTGCAGGTCAATGGATCAAATCATATTTATCAAACCATAGCCAAATAGTTGCCCTCCAGCACATTAAAGAAAACAAAATCTCGTCATACTACTCCTGTCCTCAAATAATAAATTGTGGAGTCCCGCAAGGATCCATCCTTGGGCCAATACTATTCCTTATATACATAAATGGCAAGCCTTTGGCATTAAGGAAAAACAAAATAATTTTGTTTGCAGATGACACAAACATAATCATCAAAGCAAAAACACAACAATCATTAGAAAAAGAAGCTCGCAAAACTTTGCGAGCATAAGTAAAATGGTTTCAAGGCTACAACCTCGTCATAAACACCAGCAATACAGTCTCTAATTTTCATGAATCCCCAAACTTAAGAAAAACTCTCACAGCATTTGCTCATAAACGATAACCCTGGAACATTTATTATTCAAAAAAGAATATTGCAAACAATGACCAGCACTCATAAGGTGGAGTCTTGCAAACCCTTGTTTAATAAACTAAGGATTCTTCCTCTACCATGCATGTATACATTTGAAATAGTGATTTTTACAAAGTAAATTCTCATGGAAAACAGACACTTATCAAAAAAGTATCCTAATAGAGGGCATTACACTTTACAACAATTTAGGTAATGATATTAAAGACATAAGCACAATTCATACATTTAAAAGTAAATTGAAAGCTTTCCTGCTTAACAACATGTTCTATAGTGTAAATGAATATTCAAATTACATTTCCCTTAAATATAGTAGTAGCATTAAAATAACATCTTGAAATCTTAAATTATCTGCTACTAAAAATAATTATCTATGTATAATATCCTAATCTATCTGTAATAAGTATTGTAGTATAATTTCTAGGCCAATGACCCCAATAAATAATTAAAACCTGGTCTAGGTATTTTGGCCTACAATATTAAGTTAAGGTATGATGTAATTGAGAGGTGTAAAAAAAACAAATATTGGAATAATACAAAGGATTTATGACAGAATAATATTGAATTAAGTTTTTTACGTGATTGAATTCTATTGAATATTTGATATTGATTTTGTTTAAAATTATATTTTGTAATATATTGTTAAAATGACGTATGAAATGTTAAAAATCACGTGATAAAAATATACCTAAAATAGACCTCGACATGTAAAATTGTAAAAAATGGGGATATTGTGGGATAAAAAATGAAAATATTAATAAATTGAATGGTTTTAATACAATTTTAATGGGGAAATTTTAAAATCTAAAAATTGGAATCTGTCTAAGCAAAATCAAACTATAATTAAAAGCTGAAGACTTACCTTCCAAAGCTTTTAGAACCGAGAAAACCTGAAACCTCTGCTTCACATCAGCTCTCATTTACAACTGAACCACAGAGCTATGATGGCAAAACGAGTTATTAAACTAGTTGTTAAAACCCTTCCTGCTAAACTGTTGTGGTGTATGAAGATATATCTCATTATATAAATGGCTCATATCACCACCTTTATCACTAAATCTATACCTATGATAAACGGGAAATACTCTTTCTTTTTGATGGTTAAAATTTGATTGTTATGACTCGTAGGCACGAAACGGTTTAATTTCTATGTAAATAACGTTTAAAAGCAAAATATAATTGAAAGAGGATTTATTAATAAGGGATATTCACAATAACTATAAACATTATTCCACTAGTTATTAGCAACTGAAATTTTCTTAGAAGTGGCGAGTGAGGCCCACTCTCTCACTTCCCGTAATCCATGTTATGCGAGCACAAGTCCAAACTTTAACGTTAATTATTTACAAAACTAAATGACAAAGAGTATCCAACTTTGGCAAATTTAGTCTGTACATTACATATGAGATAAAATCCAGGTGTAGTAGCACTGACGACTGAATCACCTGTATATAGTTTTCCCCCTGGGTTACTTAAAAAATTTGGCGGCAATTTTCACGTGCCTTCATGTGACAAAATTATCTGCTTCTGTGAATAGTTTAGGAAACCATGAAACATTTTTGAAAGTTGATGTTTATGAACAATGTTTTGTTCGTGAATTAACTAACAAAATCACATTTTATTCATACAATTATGAAATAATATTGGATAATACTGTCTAATGGAATGATACTCAGTTCAGTATATGAACAATGTGAACGTTGATTGTAGCATCTTCATCCAGAGGCCTACCTCCTGCTTAATGTCGATTCTGCGACTACACATATTCGAGAAAGTAATTTATAACATATAGAAGCAAGATTTTTGCATCATCCCATGAATTCAGTTTTCTTGTTTAATAAATGACTCTCTTTACTGCTGCCTTACATTGGTTTTTCTATGCAAGTAGTAATTTTTGATTTTTTTTCATGTAGAGCAGTGCCTGCTTAATATTATAGTACAAGTCTAATTTTCTTTGACCGATTAGTGAGGGGTCCCCTGTGCAATTGCACAAAGGCCCATATGGACCACAGGGGAGGTGAAGGCAGGGCTCCACGTATTCGTTGCAGTCAGCCCGAGGAGGAGGTTGTGTGGTGAGCAGAATGCTCTGGCTGCCCTTTCCTTGAGGAAAGATCACTAATTTGGAAAGGAGGCTCAGTCGAGAGCCACCCTGAATGGAAAGCTGGAATAAAATCTCAGCCTACTCCAGGATTCGAACCTGGGTCCTTAAAGTCAGGAAGCCCGTGCCCTACCGTTGAACTACCGCGGCTTCTCATTGAGGGCCACAAAAATCTGGGTGGATGAAAAGTAACTATCTGGCTGATGACACTTTGAAATGACAAATTAAGCGTGTCTACAATTTTTCCAGTCAATACCGCCTAGAGTTTTTGAGAGAGAGGGCATGAAATTTTTGGGACGTTGGCCCATGCGGATTCCTATTTACACTACACTATTGGAAATGTAATTAGTATATCTTTGTTACGTATTTTGAAAAGATTTTATTTATAAAAGGAAAATTGTTACAATAATGCTGTTTCATTTAAAATTGATTTCTGAACATAAATACTAAAGTGTTTAATTTTACTTTTTAACAAAGGAATCGACACTGAGATCGGGTGTTTGTTTCAATGTATGTTGATGTTACTTCCATTGGGGGCTGAACTATTTAATTTTGATCTAAAAGTAGATTTGTCTGTGGGGGCGCTTTTTAAATTGTCATATACCAATATTGAAACTAGAAGTTTCTTTATTAATGCAAAGATTTTCTCAATATTAAATCTTCAAATCATTTAATGTACTCTTTTCTTAAAACTGTTAGTAATTTTAATTGAAATGTGCAAGTATTTCTGGAACATTCCTAATAAATTGCCCAGTAAATATAGTCATCCACATAATGACAATGGATTGTAGAATAACATGTGTGTACTTATCTCCCATAGCATTCATATTCAAATATAGGTGTTGTGGTAAGATATCTTTGGCATTTTTAAAATAATTAAAAATGTTGTCATTGCCAACAATGTTTTTTAATTCAATAGCAGCTTTCGATGGCTAAGCCATCGAAAGCTGCTATTGAATTAAAAAACATTGTTGGCAATGACAACATCTTTAATTATTCATATTCAAAACCGCCTTAGTAAATATTTCTGCTTTTGTTTAAGAACAGATCACAATTTACTCTTACTCAATCCAATAGCAGAAAGCCATTTTCATTTAAACCTTTAAAATTTCAACAACAAAATATAAAAGATATTGAGTTTTTGTAAAATCTGGTGTTCATTTGGATAAAAGTTTAAGTGATGGCTGAACTGTAGGTAGAGAAAAAGTTACTAATTTATAATATTACATAATTTAACTTGCATTATGTTGCCAATAATACGAGAAGTGATGTGATGTTATTGCTACATTACTTCAATGATAAACGGAAATTATTGAAAGAAATCTTCCTTTTTCAGGTAGCTGCAGTGGTTGTGGCTCGAGATAATGCTGAAATAATCCTCTCCAAAATTAGGGAATGGGCCAAGGATCGAATGGCTCCATATTCTATACCTACCGTATTAAAAGTTGTGGAAAAGTTGCCAAAGAACAGTATGGGAAAAGTAAATAAGAAGCAACTTGTTAATGAAATTTTTCCAGAGAATAAGAAATGAAAAGAGTCTGTATCAACATGTATGACTGGATTGTGTTTATGATTGTACTGATTTTTCATGTTTAGTGTTACATGCATTAACTTTTTTCTGTTGGTATGAGATGGAACAGTGAGTGAATTCAGTATGAGAGTTCTTTGTGGTGTATCTACACAAGTCAAGTGGTATATCATTTCATGAACTGTGCGCTTGATGTGTAAATAAAAAATTAAATGGTAATTCATCAGTAATCCAAAAATGTATAGTTTTTGTCATTTGGTCATCTGTTCAACTTGTGAAGTTTTGTCATTTCCCAGAATGTAAGATTAGTACCTACATTTAATTACTTTTTGCATTATCTCTGAGCAACATCATTTGCACCTATAAGTAATGGATATGAAATATTGATTTATCGCATCTACCTGTCTACAAGCTTACTAACCAAGAAATAGTGAGCTTTAGGAAGAATAAATCAATACGAGTGAATTTATATTTTGGAATTTATGAAGTGTTTGCTACTGTAGAATGTAAATAACATCAGCACTGTGTGTGCATTTTAATATTATGAATGTCTCTGCCAATATTTCACATTACCCTTCAGCATTTTCTGTTTCTCTAATAGCAAAGTCATTGAGAAATGTGAATCCCTAATGATGGGTCAATTAGGTGATAAGTGGACAAGATGGAATTTTATTCACAAAAAGTTGATGATTTAAGAACTAAAATAGGTAACAAAATTATGAAATTAGGCACTATTAGGCATGGAAAGTGATGTTTTAAGCACTAAAAATTGGTTTCAAAGCGATTAAACCAGGCAGAAAGGCATGAACAGTTGTGTTTCTGGCATCTAATACTGATCACTAGGGAGAGGATATTTTTGTGACCCAAAAAATCTTGAAATATGCTTTTATGACCTAAAAATTCTGAAATATGCAATTAAAATAAACAATATTTCATTTCCTGCATAAACTTTCCTTGATAAATTTCAGGAGAAGCATGCTTGGAGTGAATAGGGATGTTTTTGTGCAAACATAATATAATGTATGTTACTTCATGGGAGAAATAATTAAAGTAACCTTAGTGAAGAACAATGTATGTTTAGTTGCATTTCCTAGTTTTAAAAAAAGATGATATCAAGAAATTTCCTACAATTATACAAGTATTTTGTCCTTTGCAGAAAAGAAAAGAAAACACGAAATGTGACAAGCTCTTTCTAATCAATTAACACTCGCAAATTAAAAGATTGTACAAAAAGTTGAAATCTTTTAGAGATATATCCCTACTTTAATGAAATATGCTCTAACATATTAATCTACATAGCATCCAATTCTAACCAAATGTCAAGAAACTTCACTTACCTATGTTCTGAAGCAAGAGGCAAAAATTTGCAAAACTTAGAAATCCACTCCCTACTGATCACAAAGGTTTAAATTAGACACTTTTTATTTTTTCAGGAAAGTCAAGATTTTATACTTTTGAGAATTGCAAGAGGTTTTTAATTTTTATTAATTTTCGTTTCTTTTTATTCCTTCTTCCACACTTTTCATTGTCAATAGTTTATTTGCAGGGCTTCTTATGTTCGGTGTTTTGGGTGATAGATTTCAATGCATAGTCAGTTGTGTATTTGGTCGCAGAATATTAGCTTTTTGGGAAATGAAACAAAGAAATTATGGCGAAGTCTGAGGCTGACCTCCCTTTACCCCAATACCATTAGCATGTGACTTAAGGGCCGAATTCATAGTCGTCACTTATAGGATAAGCGAACCCTTAAGTGATACGTGCTTTCTCAAAATAAGTGTTCCCTTATAGGCGCTCGTATTTCAGACGCGTTCCTTAGGCTCAATGTCCCGACGCTAGTACAATTTGTGGCCACCACGTGGCAGTACCAAAATAAGTAAAATTTACTTTACCGATAACGTCTGAACCAATGATCCAATTTTCGATCTGTAAACGGCATTTGACGCCTTTTTAAATGGAATTTACGCTACGAAGCCCTTTTTCCAGAAATCTAGAAAAAACTCGAATTAGTTTCAACTTCCGAGAAAAAATTAAAAAATGTGGGCTTATAGCGCGATGGCGACATGGTTCCTGAATCCAACGCCGTGACAATCATGCAAATCGGACGAATAGGAGCGTCGTAAAGTGAAATACGAAAACACCTCGCCCCCCCCCCTTCCCCTTCCTCCCGGTGCGTTACCCACCCGATTGTTGTGGGCCCTCTGTCGGCGTGGGGGCACGACCAGGCCAGGCGGCGTGCGGCCAGCCCCGGCGAAGGAGGCGGGACTTCGGGATACGCAAGCCAGACAGTCGGTTTATGCTTTCGTCACTTTGCATCTCAATCTATTTTACCCCAGATACCAAATTAGAGATGCTATACTACTATTACAGACCGAGATAAACAGTCTGTAATAGTAGTACATAACTATCTTTTTCACATATTTCTGTCTTCCTTCGAATACCATCTTAAAATTGTTTGAGGCATTACTCAAAATATCGATTCGGATTTGGAACTGGTTTTTAAAAAAATGAACTAATTTTGTAAATATCACCATTATTCCATCTCCTCACATTTTATTTTAGATCCATTTTACTTCTATGGTATTCCGGTATCATTTCACCTTACTCTAAAATTTTCCGTTATCACAAACCGGTAAGAATGAGCGGAGTATACGCACGAGCTCTTTTATCCTACAACTCGATTTTTGATCTCAAAACGACGTTTACCTGCTTTAAAGGGTTCACCTGGTGAATCTCTAAATAATATACAATATAATTACAAAATCATTTATTATTTACAAAAATATTCCCCCACCTCCCGAAAAATAATCGGCTGGTTCCGCTCCTGCTGTGACACCTCTCGTAATTCCGAAAGCGGAAGGCAATAACACAGACCCTCGTATGTCATCGGAAGCGACCGCAGATCCTGCACAGATCTGGCGTCTCCCATGGTAACTCTTCAGGGAGAGAGGCGAAACGATGAGAGGGAGACTTGAATTTTCCATGACAGAGATAAATTACTGGTAACATTAGAAAAGTTGTATCTCGTAACCAAAAGTAAAATATAATTTTGAAATTCTTGGTACTTTTTATGCATGTAGCCGCAATTATCTACATGTAATTATTATTTCTATTTACATTTATTCAAAAGTACCGAATCAAGGGTAGACCTGTGAGATCGGAGTCGGTAGGACAGACATGCAATACTTTCACAATCCCTGTTGTACAGACTAACAGGCAGATACAAGAGAGAGAACTCAAAGCTTTTGTGACTGACCAACGAAATTCTAAAAGTTTGTACATCTTATGTTTGTAACATGAAAAAAGTAAATTATGAAAATGAGTGGTTGTCTCTGCGACTTTTTGCACTGACGAGTTCTGCAGTTTTCGAATTATGTTATTGATGGATCCATCACCGTCTCTTGTTTTCCATTTTCCAAGTCATGAGATTAGAAGGCAACAATCTTCCTTTTCGTCTATTGAGATGAGGCAGAGAATTTTTTGTTGGTGTACGCGATTCTGATGCAAAACCAACGTTGGAAATCTGATTTTCGTAGTGATTGTTGAAGGGTCTAAAATATTATAGAAGAAATGTTTACAAACACTCAATTCATTGGCCATTTAGTACTTGAATTATTGTGAGTATACTCCTCTATAAATCAAAGTTTTTAGTACCTGGGATAGTACAATCTAAAAGCCACTTTCACCTTTGCGATTTAAACAAATTACTTTGACGTTGAAAACCTGAAAAGTGTTCCACTAGTGTAACATTTTTTGACGCATCTTTCGCAAGGCGGCAATTTGACAATAATCTCTCTTGAATAGTGAGGGAAATTCAATTACATTGCACAAATAAATATATTTCCATAACTAATACAAACTAATAACCACGTATTTAAATATTACTCTCATCTGTCGTACATGCGAGGTTGAACTAAGAATTCGCGAAGACCTACAGTGTAAGTATTCCGCATATTGACGTGTTTTGCGTTTGCCGCCTACGCGAGCAGTCGAGAAAATAGTATATCTGCTTTGACAACATTGTTTGAGGTCAATATCATTTCATTCTGATAAAGAATGTTTTTTGTTCTGAGAAGACATGTATCAATGAGTGGCACGTTGTTTGCTTCTTGTTCGTAACACAAGTGTTTAGCGTTTTCATTTTAATTTGGTTTCCGACTTTTGGTGAGACGGTATAGCTTCTGTTCGTAGTAAAGGCAAACAATACACAGTTAAGCTGGGGAAATTATACGTCTAGTTATTAAGAAATGTGACGAAGAAAATAATTCTGGCGTTCTTCATCACACGCTGCATAACAGCAATTTTCGGGTAAGAAACTATACTGAAGTGTCTGTTCGAACTGTGATATTAATTATAAAGGATTTCAAGCCGGCGGGGCAGCCTTGAGTACTACCGTAAGAAAAGGCCATATTGTGGAAGATAAAAAAAAAATCCACATTGATGGTATTCATTTATTGTTTATTTCTATCTATCTATTTAGCGGTTTTTTACAGCCTTGGCCGTTTTCCGCATCCCAATTTCCATGCCTCTTTATCCAAACTCGTTTTCTTCCATTTCTTTTTCCATGGCTTCAGTTACTGCCATGTTCCATGTTTTCTCGGTCTTCCCCTGTATCTTCTTCGATTTGGTATCCACTCCCAAACTTTTTTAGGAAGTCTATCCGATTTCAACCTTCTCATATGTCCATACCATTTTAGTTGTCTCATTTCGATTGTATCGTTCAAGGTTGTTTGCACTTTCATTTTATTTCTTTATTCATCATTTATTTTATCTAACAGAGAAAGTTTACATCATCTTCGCCAGAACACATTTTCTGTTGATTGAAATTTGTCTTTCATTTTTTGATAGTGTCCAGACTTCTGCCCCATAGAGTGTGGTACTCTCTATGAACGAGCTATATATGCGTTTCTTTGTTTTCATTGAAATAATTGAGTTCTATAGCACTGGGTTCAACTGCCTTATGGCTATTTTTCCTCTTATATTTTTATTTTTCACATCCTGTTCGTCTCTACATCTGCTGTTAGTGTGACTCCCAAATACTTATATTGTGTTTTTACCTTTAATTATTCTATACTAGTCTCTAAATCATGGCATACCTCCCACCACCATATTTTCAGTTTTGAGTAATTTTATTTTCATCCCCCATTTTTCATAC